AAATGATGAGAGAAACATGTTGTATGTATCAATTTTGATGTTTCCATGTGAATGTCTGCCAACAAACATTCACGTCGAGACCATCTCTATTTCCATCTCTCGGTCTTGGTTAGGGTTTTGCGTCGTTTCACACCACATTTCTAACTATTTAATTACTAAATCCTAACCCTAGTTGTTTTCTCTTGAATTTATTGCGCTTAGTCTATCTAAACATTAAATAATAAGTTTGATTTTTATTTTATTTTATTGTTAATATGTTTCTCTCTATCGACTCGTACAACACCCTAGAGGAGGAGTCATATGCATAGATCGCCTGCCTATCACGCACCACGACGGTGGTCAAACCTTACCCTTGATTCTACACAACGATTTGTACCAAAACACTAAAATGACCAAACTACCCTTGACGGTTACAGTGCCACAGCTCTCTGATCTCGCAGTCTATAACTGTAAAATCACGTTTGAACTCACGTTGTGGGTATTTCTTTCAACACCAGGAAATTCTAGTTCTCTCTCTCTCTCTCTCTCTCATTCTATTTCAAACTGATAATTGCGTTTAAATGACTAGTTTATTTAAAATAATTTTAAGCATGGATCCATTGTACACTTGACCAACAACTCCTCAAGTAGTTATTATAAATAGGCATTCCCTCGTTCCCTTCCAAACTGCGCTTGTGCTATAGTTGTAGTAGTTACATTCTCCTACACCACCCAATGGGGGAAGCTCACCCTGTGCTTCATGCAAGTTGTTGAGACGTCGCTGCACCAAAGACTGCATCTTTGCCCCTTACTTCCCTCCCGATGACCCTCATAAGTTTGCCATGGTTCACAAGGTTTTTGGCGCTAGCAATGTCAGCAAGATGTTGCAGGTCTTCTTCCCTCCTGCCCTCTCTCTATGTATTTTTATTTATATATATACGTGTATCAGCATATCTTCCGTTAAATCATATGCACTTATGTTTTGTCAAACACTTTTTAGCATTGAGCTAATGAATAGAGATTGGCCGGGCTTCACTTGGTGAGTCCAGGATGACATCATTTATTAAAAAGCTCTATGTCTTCTGCTAAAAAACAAGACTAAGTACAGGGATTTGGTGGAAAAGAAAAACCCATGCTTATGTCCCTTTCCTCCCTTTTTCTACGGGGGTATGAGGACCGGCTCCCATCTCTTCTCTCTTCATGTATTTATTGCCGAGTTTTTTCGATGTCTCTTCTATATGTGTGTATATAGAGTACAGCTTTTTGTTCATTTGTTTGAAATCTAGTTGGATTTTGTATATATAATTTTGTTTGGTGGGTATTCTTGTACAGGAGCTTCCGATTCATCAGAGAGGGGATGCAGTGAGCAGTTTAGTATACGAAGCAAATGCAAGAATGCGAGACCCGGTGTATGGATGCGTTGGTGCAATCTCCTTCCTACAGAATGAAGTGTCCCAATTACAAATGCAGCTCGCAGTCGCTCAAGCAGAGATTCTATGCATCCAGATGCAGCAAGAGCCTGCCTTGCCGACACAGATGGACCCACCTCCAGCTAATGAGAAATCATTTCTTTTCTCGAGTAGTAACTTGAATAATCTTCACCAGTATCTCAGTTTTGCTTCTTCTAGCAATGTAATCCAAGACCCTCTGAAAATAGAGTCCCTTTGGACATAACTCAGTTTTCCCCTAATGAAATGCTGTAAAACTACATGTGCTGTTTTAACTCCTTTTTTTAATTTTATTTTATAGTTTTAATAATACTACGCTGATCAAATTTGGGGACTAAATTTAGAATTCAAATGATATGACAGTTGATTTAAACTTTTTTATTTGGTGCTATGTCATTTGAGTTTCAATAAATAAATTAAATAATATACTGTTATGTTATTTGAGCTCTAAATTTAATTCCAAAATTTAATGTGAGATTACTCTTATAATTTTCACTGCAACTGTTATAGCATTACCGTTATGGTTAGTGGTGTTTTACTATTTGACTTCTCTTCTGTATGATTAGTGGGTGGGGTGGGTTTTGGTGGTTGTTGTTTTTCTTTTGTGGAGTGGGGTGGGGTGGGGGGATGATGAGGAGGAGAGTGCTTCGACCCAAAAAGGAGCTAGTTGATGGGTCAACGCTTGCATGTGAGGATCGATATTGAGTAAGAGTAAAAAAGGGTTAACTGTTGCTTGACTTTTTTTTTTTTCTGATTGGCACGTGGTAGGACGGTGCTCCGTTCCTCAGGATACCATCTGAAATTTGCCATGGCCGATCTATGTAACAACTGTTCTATTTTTTGGCAAGTAAAACCGATCTATTATTGACAGTGTACTTACAGGGAAAAAAACATGTAAAATCAGTGTGACAGAAAAACAAAAGCTTGCCTACTGCCGGAGGGAAGAAACAAGGAGCAGTAATGTTACACTCATCAAATTTTGGGATTAAATTAAGAATTTAAATGATATGGTAGCTGACCTGGACTTATTTATTTGGTGTCATGTCATTTAGGCTCCAATAAAAACTCCAAATAATGTACGGTCATATTATTTGAGTTCTTAATTTGGTCACAAAATTTTGTCAACGTAACATTGCTGAAAAAGAGAGAAAAAATGTTACTTTGTTATGATTTAACCATATATTTTAGAGATCTACCAATTAGAAATGTGAGATTTGAAAGTGGGTCTCATTGAACACTGTGGCTCACTCTTATTCTAGTGGTTATAGTGAATTAAGCGCTCAAATTAGATTATCTAATTAAGTCTAGTATTGCTCAAAACAACAGGGTTTGCAATGAGCTCCACAAAGAGAGGATTAATCTAATATGAGTGTCATGAGTAAGGCTCAAACCAAGGGCAGTAACCAAACAAAACAACAATATAATAGCGTATGATCTTTGATGGTACGTAAATGAAATTTCAAGTTTAAGCTCGGGAGTGGAGGTCAGGAGGAGAGCTCAGCTAGGAGATCCTGAGCTCGACAGATCAGGTCCAGGACCCTCTCGACTTGCACCCAGAAGAAAACACATAGAAGACAGCTAGAAACCACAACACGCCTCCTCAATAGCAGGAAGCGCCAGTCTAGACGAAAGATCCTCAATCGCCACAACCATTGCCTAGAATCAAGCGAGAAATTGCAAGGGAAAGGCGAAAATCTCGTTGTATACCCTTTTTAATTAGAAATTAGGCTATAAATACTGTAAAAAGTCCTCACTAAGGGGCAAACAATAAATAATTACTTCTCAGCTCCGGCTCATCCAAAATCCAATGAGAAAGTAGAGGACACCATCTGAACCATAAAGGCAGTCCTAAAGACCAAGCAAGAAGCTTTGACAGGGAAATGGGCAAAACATATCCCAGAAGTGCTGTGGGCTTTTAGAACAACTTCCAGATCAGTGACTCAAGAGACACCATTCACTTTGGCCTTCGGAACTGAAGTGGTGGTGCTTGTAGAGGTTGGGGTCCCATCCCCCAGGACTGAATTCTCAGAATTCGAGCACAACGAAGAGTTGCTTTTTGCTGAATCTCGATCTCTTGGATGAAAAAAGAGACAAAACTCTACATCGCGTCAAGAGTTACTAGAGGAAAAGAGCAAGATACTATAACAGAAGGGTTAAACACAGGAGTTTTAGCGTCGGAGATCTAGTATTTAGAAAGCTCATTCCCGCAAGAAAGGACCCCTCTCATGGAAAGTTGGGTCCTAATTGGAATGATCCTTACATCATCTCAAGGGTGGTCAGACTTGGGAACTACGAATTACAAATAGAGGAAGGACAAGTCCTACCTCACTCTTGGAACATAGAGCATCTGAAAAGATTTTTTTCAGTGAGTTTATTTTGTAAGAAAAACTATCTTCAATAGAACAACAAGTTTTTGACTCACCCCAGCGTGATTCCATTGAGTAGCTAAAAAGCTAACGATGAACTCTTAAGCTTATAAACAAACGATGAACTCTTTAGCTCATAAAAAAATGAGCTCTTCAACTCACAAATAAACGATGAGCTCTTCAGCTCATAAAAAAAAAGATAAGCTCTTCAACTTATAAATGAACGATGAGCTCTTCAACTCATAAAAAAAAAAGAGATTAACTCTTCAGCTCATAAATAAATGATGAGCTCTTTAACTCATAAATAAACGATGAGCTCTTTAACTCATAAATAAACGATGAGCTTTGCAGCTCATGAATAATAGATGAGCTCTTCAGCTCATGAATAATAGATGAGTTCTTCAACTCATAAACAAACGATGAGTTCTTCAGGTTATGAATAAAAGATGAGCTCTTTTAACTCATAAATAACGAGGAGCTCTACTGCACTTAAGTTCAAAAGAACTAAAGGACAATTGCAAGAAAATAAGCAAAGTAGAAAGTCAAATTTTCTCATTCATCAAAGCATGGTGGGGTACAAGAAAAAGAAGAAAAAAGAAGAAAAATTCTAAGCCCCCCTGAGTCGCCTCTTTAGCTTAGTGACCTCTTCCACCAAGGAGGTATTCACTGCCCGCATGCTTGCATTCTCGTCCCTCAGTTCATCTCGCTCTTTCTCTGTCTTAGTAAGCTTCCTAGAAAGCCCTATCCTAGTAGAAGAAAACAAAATGGTACCAAAGGAAGAGCCAGATGACTAAGAAGAAGAGTCACTCCTCTTGCACTTTCTAGAAGACGTAGTAGCATCCCCTTCTTCATCCGACTTGGTGGGGGAGGAATTAGAAGAAATAGGGAAGGAAGCAAATTCAAAGGCAGAAGCTGCAGCACTGAACAGGGATAGGTTCTTTGGCGTGACGAGCTCTGAAAAGGAGACTGGCTCAACATGGGCCATTTGATTGACCCTTAGTAGCTCTTTCGGGGTCAAGCTGGGCACACCCGCACCATGAAATTATTATAAGAAGCCAATCACCATGAATCTAGTAGAAAAAAATTCCTGAACCTCTACCTTTGTAAGAAAAGTTCTCCCAGGAACGAGGAACCCTAAACTCCACACAACATTGTTCAGTGGACCTCCAAGAATCTCCAGAGGCGAAGAAAAAGTGTTGAGCCTACCCATCAGGAGAAAAGGGAATTTCAAGGATCTGCAGAGTGTCGAAGAAATGCCTCCATCTAAAGCTATTGAAATAGGGGAGGTCGCCCTCTTCAAGTTCATAGAAGTAGAGGAATTCGGCAAGAGTGGGGAACTCATCATTGCCTTGCAAGTGCCAAAAAAGGAAAAAACTAGTCATAACGCCTCACCCTCGATGAGAGAGGTGAGAAGGGCATAACCCATAGTAGGCAAGAATCCACCCAATAGAAGGGTGGATGGGGAGATGAAAGCCCATCTCAAAGGCGCCTTCAAAAAAACAAACCTCCCCTTGAGAAAGAAAGTTACAGGGCTCATCAGGGCTTGGGATTTGCAGAGGCAAGTCCACAGAAGGAAAAAACTGCCTCTTAATCCCATCCAACTCTGAGGATGTTATCACTGATGGAACCAAGTATTTGGAGTGCCACCTCCAATCAATCCCAGTAGACGATCTTTGCTTGAAAAGAGGATAGGGAGAGGCAGCCATTGGAAATCATAAGAAAATAGGGGACACAGAGAGAAAGGAATCCTTAGAATGTGAACCCAAGAATGACACACAAGAAGAAATCCCGAAGCTTGAAGATAATCTGAGGATCCCTAGTCTCGTATGCAATAGGAAGTCTGAAGTTTAAGGAAACTTCAAGAAATCCTGAATTTAAAGGGACAAGAAACATGGGAAGATAGAAGGACACCCCCACCCTTTGCGTCTCCATAATCTTTACAGTAGTTACAAATTTGAAAGTAGGTGGGCGCTCAAAACAATAAGGAGAGAGTCAGTGTTTAGTTTTGCTGCTCCAGCTCTGCGAGCTCGGATTATTCAGGAAGACCTCAGATCATAAGCAACGTAACTCTATGCGAGTGTAAGCTCAAGCTAAAAGATCTTTAGCCCAACATAAGCAAAACTCATCCATCCAGCAACTCTTTAGCTCCTCAGTTCTTTAACAATTCTTGACAAGCCTACTTCAAGAATAATTAAGTCCTCCTCGAAGTATGGGGGCAAAGGGAGTAAGAGCATAGCAAAATCATAACAGGATAACAAAACAGAAGCACAAAAATGATACAAAAATTCAAAGAAGCAATGTATAGTTACATCTCCCAAAAAGTAGCAGAGTGCTAAGAAAACTAAACAACATTTGAAGTTCCACAAAAAAAAAAAAAAAAAAAACAACAATAGAGAAGAAAAATTTTAAGTCTCTGGCACAAGAACATAATCAGCATCTGTTAGCTCAGCAGTAGAATTCTTAGAAAGGTCAGAAGCAGGCAAGGGCAGAAGGATCTCAGTTGAAGCAGGAGTAGGGGCAAGAACCTCGTCTCCAGCTAGTGGCAAGGTCAGCCCAGAAGCCAGAGCCTCAAGGTCAGCTGGGACCTCATCTCCAGCTGAAGCTGAAGTCAGCTCATAAGCCTGGGCCTCTATGTCGGCAGGGACCTCACTGGAAACAAAGACATTGGCGGAAGCATCAGTTGGAGTAAGGGGAGAATTAGCGGCTCTAGTAGTGAGGATAGGAGTAAAGATCGGGGAGCTAGCTAGAGTAGAAGAAACCTCATGGACTAAGACCTCGGTGGAGGTAGGAGGAGGGACTTTAGTGCCTTTAGGGGTAAGCTCAGAAATGGGGGGATCTAAAGTCCCAACCTCTCCTTCGA